CGAAATAATTTCGAAAGAACGCGGCTTGAGTCTGGATGCAGGGGAAGTTCTTTCGAAAAAAGGGTACTTTTTTCGAAAGAACCCCTGAGTGTGGACACAGCCTCAGCCTCTACCTCTATTTAGCCCCTTTTCAGTTGGGGTGCCATTTATACACTCATCACAAGATGATTTGTTTAACTTTATACTTTGCAAAGTTTACTGACTATTGTACAGTGTCATTCACTACTTTCAAATGATAGACTTCATCGTTATGGAGTTATGCTATACAGAGCTCATCCATCACACTGTACTAAATCCTTTCATCATCACAAGTACTTGACTCCTACCTGTTGTTTAATTTCCTTAGCTGACTTTGGAGACTACGATCAGTATGAATCTCAGGAATTTCTACAAAGATTTGCCTTGTTTCCTGTGGTAAGTTCTTTCTTTAGCTGCTTTTCTGACATTACTGAAAGAAAATGTCTGATTTGGAAACTCCTTCTGTCAGACACAGAAGTGAGCAAATGCTATATTGACAAATCTCTTGATCAGAGAAAGGTATCAGCAAACGGATACATGCTTATGTTAAGGCTGAGAGCTACTACTACTTTGTCATTTACTGCTGCCAGACCAATCAAAGCATAAATATAAGGTGCAGATGTTCTGCAAGTATAAATTTAATTAAAGGTAATTTTATCAGATAATTGAATTACACACAATCTTTAAATTGCACAGTAGAGTCTAGTTTTCCAGGGCATTGCTGGGTTTAAAGATGTTTGTATATTCTAGTAAAGATAAATGGTGGAGGAAAAAACAAAAAGTATGTTGTTTTAGATTTCTGCAGTAATCTGTTCCCAGCTTGCTAGCCACAGTCTCATCTGGAAGTCAGGATCCAGTTGAGTGAAGGAACTGAATATTTTATCATTTAGAATTCCTTCTACTAGTTCATTAACTAAATGCTGCTCTTTAAGGGTTGGTTACAAGAGGAAAAAGTACTGGAGGAAGCAACACAGAAAGTGGCCTTGCTGCATCAAAAATACAGGTAAGAGTTCATAAATGCAGAAATTGTGAAGCAGTCACTTCAGATCTAAGAGCATGTCTATACTACAAAATTAAGTCAATTTAAGTTAGATTGACCTACAGCCATCACAGTAATTAAAATCGGCTCTGTATGTCCATAGCGTATGCTCCTTCTCTTAGCAGTGTGAATCCTCACTTAGGGATATTAAAATGCCTACACTTCAGTTAGTCTATAAGGTGCTCCACATGCATCTGACGAAGTGGGTCTTTGCCCACGAAAGCGTATGCTCCTACACTTCAGTTAGTCTATAAGGTGCTCCACATGCATCTGACGAAGTGGGTCTTTGCCCACGAAAGCGTATGCTCCTACACTTCAGTTAGTCTATAAGGTGCTCCACATGCATCTGACGAAGTGGGTCTTTGCCCACGAAAGCGTATGCTCCTACACTTCAGTTAGTCTATAAGGTGCTCCACATGCATCTGACGAAGTGGGTCTTTGCCCACGAAAGCGTATGCTCCTACACTTCAGTTAGTCTATAAGGTGCCACAGGACTCCTCGTCGCTTTTATTAAAATGTAAGTAATTAAATCACTGTTTCACCGCTGAAAATTACAGTGGTAACACAGGTGCATGCAGGGTGGCAGTCGGCTCCCCGGGAGCTGGTGTGTGCAGAGAGCCAGCTTTTAATTCCTCTCCCCCCACATGCTTCTACTTGTCACCCTGCACTGTTGCCTTTAATACAGAGACAGCAATGCAGGGCAGTAGGCAGCTCCCTGGGAGCCAATGTTCGCTTGCAGCCAGCTTTTGAGCCAGCTCCCAGCATGTATCAGGATCCTGCACATAACCATGAACATTAACCAATGAGCCTAAGCTTACTGGTTAACCGTGTACACAGTTACACTTTCACATCCCTAATCCTCACCAAGAGCACTTGCACAGACTGAAGTGTGGCATTGTTGGTCACTGACAGCTGGATCCCCACAGCCCCAGGGCTGACAGCTGGAGCACTGATTAGGCATCAGCTAGAGTATTGTGTCCATTTCTAGGTGCCCCATTTCAGAAATGATGTGGACAAACTGGAGAGAGTTCAGAGAAGAGCAGCAAAAATTTAAAGGTCTAGAAAATAAGATCTATGAGGGAAGATTGAAAAATTAGGTTTTGGTAGTCTGGAGAAGAGAAGACATGGAGTAGGGGACATGATAGCAGTTTTAAAGTACTTAAAAGGCTGTTACAAATCAGTGGAAGAAAAATGTTCTTGTTAACCTCTGAAGATAGGAAAAGACACAATGGGCTTAAATTGTAGCAGGAGCAGTTTAGGTTGGATAGCAGGAAAAATTTCCTAACTGGCAAGGTGGCTAAGCTCCCAGCCTGTCAGCTACCCCCAGCCAGAACAGTTGCATAATCTGGTCTGGGAGTCCTGGCAGACTGGGGGAGGAGAGGCTGTCCATTTTTGCCCTCATCCCATGCTGTCTCCCAACAGATGTGGCCTCAAGGTTTAGTGGGTGGGGGGGAACTGGTGCAGGGCAGCAGCAGCAGTTGGGCCTCCCCCCACACACTTCCCACAATGCTGGGAGCTGTGGGGAAGCAGAACGACTGTGTCTGCCTAGTAGCTGCGAAGAGTGCAAAGAGGTCAAATTTCTGCTGCCATCCCATGCCAGGTACCCCTTGGTAATCTCCGAGGCCTCATGCCTTGGGGATGGGGTGCCATGGGAGAGAGGAGGTGAGACAGTGGTGGGAAATGTCAGGATTTGGAGGAAAGGAACTGACAGCCCCCTCAACACACACACATCTCAGCGGGACTTCCAGGCCAGATTGTTTTACTGCTCCCACTGGGGATGTCCAACAGGCTGGGAGTTTGAGACCCCTGGTCATTATTGTAGGATGCTGTCTCTCTCCAATTTCAGGAATACAGGTCTCCAAATCACTAAAACTATAGGTGCCACTAATAGGGAAGGAATAATTAGGAACAGCTACTGCTCACCTGCCAGAAGCGTTTCCGCCAAGTCAGAACTGAGGCAGAGCTGGGGATGAATAGTGTGGGGAGAAAATTGTTCTCTCAGGGCTATGCTGTAAATTTTAAACTTCTGTGAATTTGTGTGGATATTGACAACTAGAGTAAAGCCATTTTGAAATAGTACAATGTACTTTGTAACATTGTTGCTTATCAGAGACGAAAATAAATATTGTGGCTGCATTGTTAAGGTTTTCATGAAGTCTTATCATTTAACCTCTTGCTTTAGTTTAATGGAAATTGTGGCCACAATTATTGTTGTGTGTTAAGAACTATAACTGTACTAGGAAATCTAAAGGTAATCTTTGTTGCAATATGTTTACAGTCTAAGTCACAGAGAATAAGACATGGTGCACTGGGAGGACCAGTGTCAGATGAGAGATTCCTTGTGGTGTTTTCCTGATCTCTTTTCTTTTTCTCTAGTTAAAATAATATTGGGCTGGAGATAGTTTGATGTGGCTCGGTGTTGCGGGTTTATTTTAAGCAGAGTGGAAGCAGTGAGTCTTTAGACAGAATTTGAATGAGGAGGGGCTGAGGATTGATATCAGGATTGAGGGCTTGTTCTGTACAGAACAGAAAGAAGAATGTAGCTGGGAGTGGGGGAAGTGCAGGAACTGAGGTCAATGTGAATGTAGGAGAACAGAGGAATGAGAAAGGATGTAGTAAGAAATGTTTCTGTGTACTGTACCGTGCTGCACATGCTGTTTGTGCTAAAGAAATACATAATCTGAGATGCAGACTGGAATGGAATTGTGAGTTTCAAGCTTGGGCAGCATGCTTCAGAGTAACACATGTAGGAGTGTCCCCAGTTGGTACAAATTTAGAAGCTGATTACTAGATCAAAAGTTACTGTTGTGTTTATTTGTAGAGGCCTTACACCTCCTGATGCAGAAATGTTGTATATGCAAGAGGTAGAGAGAATGGAGGGCTATGGTGAAGAGAGCTACCCTGCAAAGGTAAGGAGGGCTTTAATGCTCTGCTGTGTGTAGGCATCTTCATATCTTTCTTCCATTTCAAATAAAAACAAGAAAATCCAATGTATAAGATAGGGATGTAAAATCCCAATTAAAAAGTTAACTGGTTAAACTTTGTTTACCTTAGTAAGCATACCCCTAAGTCACCTGAATCACCTCATTGACATCACTGGGATTACTCTGGTGCATAAGGACTGCTGTATCAAGTCCTGTGTTTGTGCTACATGGCAAGGAGAGGTCATCATATAAAACAAAAGATTAAGATTTGCATTGCCCATGTAAGAACCCTTCTGTGACATCACTGAAGTGAATAGTTGCTGCTACTATAACGTTAACTCACAATGTTTCTTTCTTCTGATTTCTGGTTACTGCTTCTAGGACAGCCAGGGAAGTGACATATTCATTGGGGCATGTCTTGATGGAATCTTTGTAAAACACAAAAATGGCCAGCCTCCTGTTATATTTCGGTGAGTATTGTTCCCTGTCAGAAGAATGCAGATGAAATACTTTGGAAATTAACATTATATGTACAGTCCCAGTTGCTTTCATAGGCTACGTCTAGACTGGCCACAAATTCCGGAAAAGGGATGCAAATCAGGTAAGTCAGCATAGGGAAATCCGCGGGGGATTTAAATATCCCCCGCGGATTTAAATAAACATGTCCGCCGCTTTTTTTCCGGCTTGGGGAAAAGCCGGAAAAAAAGCGTCTAGACTGGCGCGATCCTCCGGAATAAAGCCCTTTTCTGGAGGATCTCTTATTCCTATCTTCAGCTTGGCCCCCCCCAAGATTCTGGTGTGTGAGGGGAATGTGGAGAATGTCTTTTTTCTCAGTTGGGGGCCATCTCAGTGAGGGGTTGTTGTTGTTGATGTTGTTGTTGTTTTGTTTTTTTCTTCTCGTGTGTGGCCCCTGACTGATTTTTCTGTGGATCAGCGGCCCCTGACCCCAGAAAAGGTTCCCCAGCCCTGTTGTAGATCATTTGCTGCTTACAATTAGGCTGTAACTGATAGTGAAGTATGCAATCTTCTTGGACATTCTGACAGTTAGTTAAACATTTGTTAAATATTTTACCATGTTAAGCATGACATTGAGACATACCTATCTGAAGGCCAATTCCAATAGTCCAGATTTCACCTGTAGATGCAAGCATGAGTGTCAGTGACATGAATAAGGGCTTCATGTGTGCATCCCTGGGCAGAATTTGGCCTACCAAGTGAATGTCATGTAGCAACATATGTAGAAGGCTATTTTCAAGGACATTGGTAGCTTGTAGTTATCACTGAGGCCAGATAGACATTGATCAGATAAAATCCACTGTGAACAAATTAAGTTGTTCACTGAACTGGGGACCAAATATTGGAACCTCTCTGCAACTCCATAGTAAGTGGGCCATGTACAGTAACTCTCTATGGGGCCTTAGTTCTGAACACTGTTACCCGTCTTCTCACTCATTTTAACCAGGTCTTAATAGCTCTGAGCATTTTTAAGCATTGCTAAACATAGTTTTACTTGTACAAGGAAGGCTACGTCTACATTGGCCCCTTTTCCGAAAGGGGCATGCTAATTTTAGAGGATCGGGGCCAGTGTAGACGCTCTTTTCCGGCTTTTCTAAAAGCCGGAAAAAAGCGGCGGACATTTTTATTTAAATGCCGCGGGGGATATTTAAATCCCCCGCGGATTTCCCTATTACGACCTTTAAAATTAGCATGCCCCTTTCGGAAAAGGGGCCACCAATGTAGACATAGCCGGAGTGATTAACTTTCGAGCAGTCAGGCCATGCTAGTAGCTAGTTTCCTGTCTTAAATGTATTAAAACATGTTAATCCATTATACACATTTACACATCCTCTAAAGAACTACAGTTACATCCCCATTTTCCTTTTAAGAATAATGAGAATGAAGTTCTAGGAGTGATGAAATAAGTTATACATAACTGTATACGTAAACTATTAATCACTGTTGCAGAGTTTGCTATAATTGACTCAGATTGTACATGGGTGAGTTAGCAATTATTCCTCATCCCCAAGATAGGTTTTGTTTTTCATTGATACTTTCTGCTCTATGAAAATTCAGAGCTTACTTGTAGTGTCTTCTTGCTTTGTCCATAGGTGGCATGACATTGCTAACATGTCCCACAACAAGTCTTTTTTTGCATTAGAACTTTCAAATAAAGAAGAGACCATCCAGTTCCAAACTGTAAGTGAGTGAGTTTTTATTTCTCTCTATCTCAAGCTATACAGGTTGAAACTCCCTTAATTGGGATGCGGCAAGACCAGAGAGTCCCCGTGGAGGGCCAGTGGCAGGGATCCCTATGGGGCCAACAGAGCAGCGGGCTGCCTTCAGTGAGCTGACAGAGGGGCCACCCAGCGTTTGGCAGCTGATCTGCTTAGCAGAGTTAGGAGACATGCGCATGGCTGCCCAGTGGGATCCATGGCACACAGCTTCCTGGTGGGTCCCAGAGCCCCGGTTCAGCGCATGCGGTTGCCCTGTGGGTCCTGGATCCCCAGCACAGTGCGTGTAGCTGTCCGGTGGGACCTGGAACCCACTGTGTGGCACGTGTTGCTGCCCTATAGGTGCTGGAGCCAGGGCAGCGATGGCTGCTCAGTGGGGTTGGCAGGGCAGTGGGCCAGCAGGAGGTGAGGAGCCGGCGGTGAGGCCAGCAAACTGGGTGGGGGCCAGCATCAGGGGGTCCAGAAATGACCTCCCCTGACCTGGCAAAATCCCTCATCCAGGACCAATCAGGTCCCAAGGGTGCCAGACTGGGGAACTCCAACCTGTATAAGTAAACTACAAAATAAAACAATCCCCCAAACTATATTTTTGTCCAAAATGTTAATTTTTTCAACTTTATAGTTATGTGGAGATTTTTTAGTTGCTGTTAAAACACTTGTATTATGAGGGTGACACAGATCTAACATTTTTAAATTCTATGGCTGCTTCAGCCATTTGTATACAAAAGAAAAAAGGCATTAAGAAATTTTGTCTTCCACAAGTACAGCAAAAGTGCTGAGCACTCTGATGTGACCCAGCAAAGTGTTTAAGCGTGTGTTTAAATGAAGACTTTTTAAATCAATGGGACTATTCACATGCTTAAGGATAAGTCCATGTTGAAGTGCTTTGCTGAGTCAGGGCCTGAGCGCTCAGTGTCTTGCAGAATTGAGTCTTTAAAGTATTTGTCTATTTCCTTCTTCGAGGCTATAATTTTTGTAATAGTCTTAAAGCGGGAGTGGAGAATCTCTGTGCAGCAAGCGGTTTGTCAGGCTTAGCCGCAAGTGGGCTGCCAGACAGTGTGTTTACCTGAGCATCTTCAGCCACAACTACTCAAGGCTCCTAGTGCTGGGGGGGGTGACCCAGCCTCCACCGCTTCCTACAGCTCCCACTGGCTGTGAACAACGAACCATGACCCTGGAAGCTCCCAGCCATGTCTTCAGCTGCTCAGGTAAACAAACTGTCTGGCGGCCCGCTGACCCTGATGGAGTGCTTGCTGCCAGTGCGCCAGAGGTTCACCACCATCTTAAAGTGTGATATGCATAGTACGTATAGTTATTCAATGTACTGAGTCATAAGATTGTCTTCAGTAGAAGGCTGCTGTTTTCAGCTTGTTTTAGTCTAATGAAGTGTTCATGTTTTAAGCAGATGGATTAGTCCTGCAAATTCTATGGGTCCTAAAAAACTTTCATATAGAAGCTGCTACATCAAAATGAATTGAATCAAATCTTGTTCCGATGTAAGTCAATGGTTAAACTTTCACTGACTTCCATGGGGCCAAGAGTTCGGCTTGTATATTTTAGCCTGTGTATTTTTGTTGTATATCTATATATTTTGTTTGACAGGAGGACATGGAAACAGCAAAATATGTGTGGCGGATGTGTGTGGCCAGACACAAATTTTACAGACTAAATAAATGTAGCCTGTAAGTAGAATAGCTTTTTGTGGGGGGAGGGGGGGAAGAGATCTCTGTTCCCATAACAAACTTAAATGTTGTGTAACATCTGTTATTTACTACTTTTTTAGAACCATGTTTCTCAACCAGTGGTACAAGTACCTTTAGGGGTACTCGAGAGAAGTCTGTGGGGTACGTCAACACAACTGAAATTTGGAGAAAACTGAATTTTTGTTTTAAGTTTTACAGTGCTTTATTATTTCTGTACTTTTTACACCCAAAATTGCATTGCCTGCCTGGCTACAATTAAGTTGTTTAAACAAATGTTGCAATGGTCGAAAAAAATTTTGTGTCTGAAAACTGTAGGTACTGGGGGTACTTTTTTTTTTTTTTTTGAAAAAGAGGTACTTTATTTTAAAAGGTTGAGAAACACTGTTTTAGAATATACTAATTAGTGACACTGTTTGTTCCTGATGCTTTTAATCACATACTTATTCTCAATGCCAAAGTTAAGAATATAATTCTCTTCTTCTAATAACTGAATCTCAATTCTGTAAGTGTATTTACTTGGGCCATTAATGTGAAGGTGTTTGTGAAATACTGAAATCTGAGACTCTAAATGGGCTTTTGACTGAACTTGTAATAGGACACGGTAGTTAGTTATTTCCAAGAAGCAGGGGAGTGAATGTAGTCTTCTTAGAAGATGCTAGATTGGCAGTCTTATAGTATGAGGCCCTTTAGATATCCACAGAATCCTTGTAGTTCAGTAATCATAAGAGCAGAACAAATTAAATACAAGTGAAAAGATTAAATGTAATGGACCAGTCTCCACACTGCAAATCAATTTTTTCACCTTTTTTAATTCTGTCATGTTATTCTTGATTTACATTAATGCGAGACAGATAATTGAGCCCACTAGTCATTTAATTCAATTTCTTTGGCATAGTCCAGCAATAAATGACTACTTGTGGGTCTATTGAAGTTAAAGGAGAGATGATGGTAAATATCCACATCACAACCCCCTCCCCCACGAGGCACTAATACTGACACCTTTCTTATCACTCTCAAAATAGTTGAAGAATTGGCTCGGAATAGAGACCAAACTAGCCTCTCATACCTCATGGTGGTTGCCTTCTGGTCAGGGATGAAGCATATTGGGGAGGTGGTGTTTGTCAGAAGCTTTAAAAAACAAATTCCCTAGACCAGTAGTGCTCAGTCTTTCTTGCTTGGGATCCCTATGTCAATTTACTGGGATATCCACCTGTTTAACAAAAGCGGGAAAGGGGGGGGAGGAGCAAGGTAGTGCTGGGCACCAGGCTAAGAAAACCTCTGTCCCACTCATCTAAGTTCAGTTACAGTGTCTTCTCTGCTGGTAACAAGCACCTTTTTTCCCCAATGTGCTAGTTGACTGTCTCCATTTTGTCTGAATATACCTTGTCTTTAGAGACTCCCCAGACTCTCCACCTGTGGAAGGCTCTCAGAAACCTTTCCTCATTCTTTCCTTTCCACGCTTTCCAATTCTTTCTCGTCCTTCTCTTCCCAAAGGGTGAGCTGAGAATAATCTCTTTCTGAAATTTTGCATGCCCTGGGTTGATATTGTGAAGGTCAAGACTATAACGGGGTTCCAAAAAGAACCAGATAAGTTCATGGATGATAGATCTATAAGTGGCTATTAGCCAGAATGGCAAGGATGGCTTTATTTTTCAGAAGCTGGGAATGGATCACTTGATGATGACCTGTTCTCTTCACTCCATCAGAAGTTTCTGGGACTGGTCACTTTCAGAAGACAGGATACTGGACTAGATGGACCTTTGGTCTGACCCAGTCTGTTCTTATGTATTTGTATTGCTGTGGTATCTTTCAGGTCCTTGTCTTACTGCACACCGATGGATATGGAACCAGTATAGTGTGGGGGGAAATGGGGACTGCTGACCAGTCCAATGCACAGTGATTTGGCAAACTACAATCTTGTCTATACTCTAGAAGCTACAATGTTTGCCTTATCTAAACTTTAGATTGTTTAGGGACCCAGAATGAGCATTCTGCTGCTGTTTATTTCTATAGCCTAGTAAGTATTAAGGACACATTACAAGCTATTACTGTATAAAGACAGACATCCAGGACAGGGAGCCTACAGATTACCACTTGGATGAGACTTTATAAGGGGTTGAAATTTGGAGCAAGAGCATGGAAATCCCACCTTTCTCCCTGCCCACTGCATGTGTGAAATTCAGGTCCTGGTCCGTTCCATGCACTGCTGGGGGAGTTTGGTGTGCCAGAGCATTCAGCATCTTGCTAGGATACTGAACAGGAGGAGAAGAGGCACTGAGATAAACAAGGTGTTTTTCTTTCTCACTCCCCATCCTATTTATATGTTTGTTTTCATTCTAGCGACAGTGGTGATTTGTGCATAGCAGTTGCACATAGCTCTTCCCTTTGGGACTGTGTAACATAGGGCCTGATTCTGTGATGTGCTGAGTGCCCTGAAATAGGCCCAATCCTTTAAGGTGCTCAAGTTGGCAAAGTTGTAAAAATCTTTGCTTATCGTATGACTTGCTTTGTAGACAAACGCAGGCTGTTACAGTGAATCCAGTTAGAAGGAGGTCCTCTGCCAGGATGTCTCTGGTAAGGTTTTCAAATAGCTCACATTTAAGCTGGTTCTTGTCTTTTGCTAAGTAGTAGTAGAATGTCCTATGAAGGGAGAAATAGTGGTGACCATGTTAATTGTAAAATTGGAGAAGGATACTTTTTCTAGGAATATGCCATTACTACTGAGATTTGAATGTTTATAGTTTTGCATTAGACTTGAGTGAAATATTTTTTCCTTTAATGGAAAAGCTGAAGTGATTAAAAGTAAGCTGGGACACATGCCTTAAGCCTACAGGCTTGTCAGAAAACCAAGCGGCAACTTCTTAATAACTTATTTAAAATATATATTTTTGTTTTAGGTATTTTAGATACATCTATTTTTCAGTTTAAGATTCTCCTACATCTAGAGAAAATCTTAGGTGTCTGTATGCACTGCTTTGGTTTGCTTTTCCTCTTCACTTGCCCTGAAAATTGATACTTTGTGTTGAACACTGAAGGAATTTGCTTGTACAACCTTCAAGACTCTTTAATAGCTCATGTAGAATTTAACTACTTTTAAATATCTTCTTTCTTAGCCCAAGCCACAGCCTTACATGATGCCACCACCACCTCAGCTACATTACAATGGACACTACACAGAACCATATACATCATCCCAAGGTAAATTATGATGTGGTCACATTGTTTAATTCTTAAGTATATAGACAGTGGGAACAAGTATATACACACAGACCGCTTGATATCACATTTTACCACTCTTTAAATTATATCACATTAGGTCCTTTGACACTACTAGAGCTATTTAAAGAGACCATAGTGTAAATGCGAGTCAAGCCCACAATCAGTTTCACACATACATAATGGGAAGCGACTGTCTAGGAAGAAATACTGCAGAAAGGGATCTAGGGGTCATAGTGGACCACAAGGTAAACATGAATCAATAGTGTCACACTGTTGCAAAAAAAGCAAACATGATTCTGGGATGCATTAACAGATGTGTTGTGAGCAAGACATCAGAAGTTATTCTTCCGCTCTACTCTGAGCTGATTAGGCCTTAATTGGAGTATTGTGTCCAGTTCTCGGTACCACATTTCAAAAAAGATGTGGAGAAATTGGAGAAGGTCCGAGAAGAGCAACAAGAATGACTAAAGGTTTAGAGAACATGAGCTATGAGGGAAGACTGAAAGAATTGGTCTTGTTTAGTTTGGAAAGGAGAAGACTCAGAGGGGACATGATAGCAGTTTTCAAGTATCTAATAGGGTGTCACAAGGAGGAGGGAGAAAAATTGTTCTCCTTGGCCTCTTACGATAGGACAAGAAACAATGGGCTTAAACTGCAGCACAGGGGTTTTAGGTTGGACATTAGAAAAAACTTCCTAACTGTCAGGGTGGTTAAACACTGAAATAAATTGCCTAGGGAGGCTGTGGAATCTCCATCTGTGGAGATGTTTAAGAGCTGGTTAGACAGACATCTATCAGGGATGGTCTAGTAGTGCTTGGTCCTGCCGTGAGGGCAGGGGACTGGACTCAATGATCTCTCGAGGTCCCTTCCAGTTATAGTGTTCTATGAGTCTATGATTATTTCTCTTGTTCTAGTATTTGTTCCTATTCTAAGTACAGAATGATATATGAGGGAGCTAGGATGGCGAACACTGAGTCATTGACTGTGTACATTATTTGCAGGCCACAGTCTCTCATTACATACAGCCTTCATATCCCTGTAGACCTTAAGGATCTCTCGAGGTCCCTTCCAGTTATAGTGTTCTATGAGTCTATGATTATTTCTCTTGTTCTAGTATTTGTTCCTATTCTAAGTACAGAATGATATATGAGGGAGCTAGGATGGCGAACACTGAGTCATTGACTGTGTACATTATTTGCAGGCCACAGTCTCTCATTACATACAGCCTTCATATCCCTGTAGACCTTAAGGATATCAGAGCTCTGTAAAACATCAGTGGA